GATTTATGAAGTTGTTAAATAGAATATAAATAAAACGGATGAAACTGTTTTTTAATTTTTATCTCCCTTGCTTTGCTCGAATTGCTAAGCATCCAGACATTTTCAGTGTAATTTTATTTTTATTTTTCAGTTTGTGTCCTTATGGGTAGCTTTCATTTGATAATGTAATCAACTGTCATTTTTCAGCAAAAATATGAATTAAAGGTGAATAGTCAAATAATTTTCTGAATATTCTTTTAGTTTTTATTTACATATTATAGCAAGCATTTTATTTCTTCATTACCATCCTCTACCTATTATTTCTTCTAAAGGATCGTTTTTTTTTTTTCTTAATAAAGGATCATTCTTAATTGGAAGGATTAAATTTGTATCATCCTGGGATACATTTATAATTGCCTTCAGTCATTCAAAGGAAAACTGTTAATTAAAAAATTAAATGATATTAATGTGAACTAGATTTCTTCTTTTAAAACTGATGAAATATATTTTTAATACTGAAATTTACATTTAGTATGTATTTAAGATTATAGGTATTGTTTCAGGCTACATAGTGTTATGTCGTCTAGGTCTTTTTGCAAGATGATTGCTTTCATGAAATATAATGATGAGAGATTTACCCATTCTATTTTTGAACTCTTGAAATCAGATCTTCAGTGAGGATCTTTGAATGTGTCACATAGACGTGGAATTGCTAGGTTGTAGGGTGTGTTCATGTTCAGCTTTGGTTGGTGTCGTGAAATTCTTTATCCAAGTTGTTGTACCAATTTACTGATTTACTGTGGTATATGAGTACCTATTTCACCCCAGTTTTGCAAGTTCTGGTATTAATATGGTTTCTTAACTGGATTTGTATAAATTGGTATCTCAGTGTTCTAATTTTCATTTCTCTGATCATTAGTGGGTTTGTGTAGTTCTCACATGTTTGTTGGCTATTTGGGTATTCTCTTTTGTGAACCACTTGTTCCAGTTGTAGGGATTGTTCATCTTTTTCCCATTGATTTTTTTTTTTCTTGTATTCCACATATTAATCCATTGTCAGGTATGGAGATTGTAGAACTTTCTCCTAGCCAGTGGCTTTTCTTCTCATTTTGTTTACTGGGGACTCATCTGATACAAATGGTTTTTTTTTTTTTTAATTTCAGTTTGTACTTTTTAGATGTTATTTAAGAAGTCCTCTCCTACTTTAATATCACAAAACTGTTCTCGCATATTTTCCTTTAAAAGCCTTTCTTTTTCACTGTTAGATCTTTAATCGTCTTGTAATCATTTTTTTTTTTTTTTGGTATTCTTTGGTATGTTTTTTTTTTTTTTTTTACCAAATAGATAGCTAATTATACCTATACCCTTAAATGAATAGTCTGTATGTTTTTGCACTGTTGGTAATGTTCTCGCTGCCTCTTGCTGAGTTCCCACATATGTCTGTTTCGAGGCTCTCTATTATATTCCATAAATCTCTGTCTAGCCCTATGCTTGTACCACTTTACTTCCATTACAGTAAACCTGGAAACTTGGTAGGGTAAATCATCCCTGCCCACGACATCTTGAAAGTTCTCCTTTATTCTTGTTTCTGTCCTGTTGGTGAAAATCAACCTCTGTGCTCCAGAGCCAAAAGCTAGAGCAAAGGCAGAGTTGGTGTATAAAGTAGGAAGACAGTTTACTACTTTGCCAGGCGAAGGAGTCTGCAGCAGGGTAATGCCTCCAAGACTGCAAGTCCTCCTGGGGTAAAAGGCTGAGGGGTTTTATAGGAAAATACAGGATCTGGGTGGTTCTAATAGGAATCTGATACACATCCTACCGGCTGTCTTCATCATGTCCTCAAGGTGGTCTCATGACTAGCACTGGTGCAGCCATTATCATTAAGTATACGTTGGGGTCTGTGAGGTGTCAGTATCAATACTGAGTTCCTGGAACAAAGGATTCTACAGAAAACCAAGTGAGGGGAAGGAAGAGAGTCTTCAAGAGTGAGGAAGAGGCAAATTTATTCAAAGTCAAGGCTTTTTTTTTGCTCAAGCACTAGTGTGTCCCTCTTAATTGCCATCCATCTTTCTGTTTCTATAGCAGTATCACTACTTTTTTTTCAAAGATTTTATTTATTTATTGGACAGAGAGAGACACACGGCGAGAGAGGGAACACAAGCCGTGTTCTGGAGCAGGAGTAGGGGGAGTAGGAGAGGGAGAAGCAGACTCCCCGCTGAGCAGGGAGCCCAGTGTGGGGCTCGATCCCAGGACCCCGGGATCATGACCTGAGCTGAAGACAGATGCTTAACGACTGAGCCACCCAGGCGCCCCGCTACTTTCCAAATACAGTATGGAATCAATAAGAGTTCATGAAAACCTCCTTGGAATATACATTGGAACTATGGGTTAATTTGAGGAGAGTTGATCTCTCTGAGTCTTCTCATCAGTGACTATCTGTTACCTTCATTTATTCTTTCTCTGATACAGAAATATGAGTTTCTGACCTGTATCATTTTTCTTCTCTCTGAAGATTTTTTTTTTTTTTTTTTTAAGATTTTATTTTCAGGTAATCTCTACATGCAATGTGGGGCTTGAACTCACAGTCCCGAGATCAAGAGGTGCATGCTTCTCTGACTGAGCCAGTTGGGTGCCCCACTCTCTGAAGAACTTTTTAAAACATTTCTTGCAAGGCAGGTCTACTGGCGTGTGAGAAAATCTTTATTTCTCCTTTTACTTTTGAGGGATAATTTCACTCAGAATTCTAAGCTGGTGGCTTTTTTCTCTCAGCTCTTTGAATATTTCACTCCAACATGACCTATCAGGTAAAATGAACTGAGATAAACGCGTCGTTATACATGTGTGTGGCTTGAAGCCAGGTTGTGTCCACTATTTGCTGAACCTGTGGTTTCAGAGTCTAAAATTCCCTCCAGCATCCTTGTGTTTGTCTCTCCTGTTGTTTTGGGTTTCCCTAATAACTCCTTCTGACATAAAACTTGTGTTTTGCAATTGTCTCAGTTGTAATCTGTGTTATTATACAGGAGCCCTGTTGATGTGGTGGGAGGGGAAGCATCCAACAGTCCTATCGTTAGGATTCTTTTTGTGAGCCTGCGCATTTAGTCTGTGACCTTCACAAGTACTTCTCAGTTGTTTCCCCCCACAGGGGAGACAGGAAGGCTTAGAGGGTACTGGGCTTGGGTTTGTCTTTCCCAGGTCAGTTAGGTTCTGGTAAAGTAGTGTCCCCTGTGTCTAGGCCTTTGTTGAGGAGAAAAGAATGCTCTGAGCATGTTTCACAATGGTTATTTTTTCGTCCTTCTGCTGGGAGCATGGGGGGTTCCTCTGATTTTCATCCTGAGAATCTAGTGGGGATTCTGGGAAGTAAACTCTTGGGCATGTGGGGGCTCCACTAGGCTGGGCTCTAGGAGTTTTTATCCCCCAAGCTCAGGCTCCAACGATTAGGTTACCCTTCCAGTTTTTGTACCAGTTGCTGGCTCCAGTGGCGATTCATGCTCCTTATTAAGCTGTGATTTTCTGTCTTTGCCTGGCTCTTCAGTGTTTGTGGCAGCAGTTTGTTCCATGACCACAGTTCTCTGATGTGTCTGACAGGAGTTGTTGATTTTGTTTGTTTAGCATTTTTCTTGTTGTAAGGATTGTTGTGACAAGCTTTTTTCAGAAGTCTATCAATGGCAATCATACCTGTAAATATTTTCTACATTTTTTTTCTGTAGAAGTCATAATATCACTGACACCTTAGAATTTAATTGGTGTTGTAGATTGTATCTTAATTATGTTATTTAATTGGTTATTGTAGGCATATAGGAATACTGTTGATTTTTGTCTGCTCATCTTCTGACGATCTTGCTTTTTGAACGTGCTTCACTGTATTTCAAACTTGAATTGGACATTTAGATCAATAATGCCAGTCCCCCTTCTCTAAAACCTTTAAGATAGGTGTTGATCATGTTCATAGGTGTTAATAGTAGGATATATTTCTTTCCTTTGCATGGTTTTTGCTTTTGACATAACTGTGAGTTTAGAGCTGTCGAAGATTCCTTAGTGGAGCACGATGTCTGTGCTTTGGGTGATGTGACATCACTTAATGGAAGAGGATAAACAAAACATCTCTGGTTCTTAGGGTTCTTGAACAAATATAAGATAGAGATGAGCTTATTACATAAGGTGGAGCTAGAATAGATGGGCTGCTACCCATGTGTGGAGATCTTTACCTATGTGGAGCTTCCTTTCATTGGTTTGGACAGCAAGATGGTATTGTTGGGCTGTGACCGGCATCTCCTGCCCTCTTATTAGTGTAGAGAGAACAAATACATATTTCAGGGTCAGTAATAAATTCACTTGTAAACAACAGGAATTTTGTTTATTGTCACCAAAATAGTTCATCAAATGAGGGAGTAGGTTTCCAAATTAGATTGTGGAAACAATTTGTCCTTTCTTCATTGTTCGTTTTCATCCAGAGGAATAAATTTGTTATTTTGGAGTAGGTTTCAAACCATATTTGATTGTGCTCTGTCTGAAATAACAAGGAAATTCTAGAGTTGATTTGTGTAGGATTTACATCTTTTGAATCAGTTTCTAAAAACACCCAAGATTAGCTTGTCACCGCTCTTTGATGTATTTAATAAAGCATGAGGATTGGGTGACTCCTTTTTCCCCAATATTTTGATTGTGTAGTTTAAACTTGAGTAAGGATCACCAGCTTCTATATATTAATTTGGTGGTTTAATGTCAACCCATGCCAACCAGATTTTGTGTTATATAGTAAAGTTCCTTTTCTAAACCTTGAAGGTTTGATAAATTACTGTTTTGGTGATCATAATGTCATTTTGACCTGAGGACTTTTTCAGAGTTAAATGAGCTTGGTGGTTTATTAAATGCCATGCAGAGTTTAAATCCAGGATAAATTTAGCCGTTGATTTTCCCCCTCTTTTGATTAGTGATTCTGTCAGTGCAAAAAGCACAGATAGTAGTTAATACCAGTTTTGTGATTAAAAAGATTGGAATCAAGTCTTTTATGTCTTTTCTTTAAGGTTGTTGATTATATCCTGCCACCCTTGGTCTCCTTGGTTCAGAGCCAAAACGGTAAGTGTGACCACATCAAGGAGAATGCCATTAGGTACACATTCAGTTTTCATTCTCTCTCCATGTACTCACATTCTTGGCATTTTTTTTTTCTTTCAAGTGGAGTGGAGACTCTTCAGCTTGCGGTTGCTCTCAGAAACCACATCTCTACTCGTGAACCAGGAGGTGGGGGATGGCAAGAAGGAGGCGAATGTTGACTTTGACAGCAGTCTTCTGGCTCTCATTAGAGACGTCTTACTTCCCCAGTAAGTCCCACGTGCTGCATTCGCGCAGAGAAGGGTAGGACGTCCAGGATGCTTCTGTCAAACGAGGTCCAGTGATGGGGTTGGGGTCTTGGTGTCCTTTGCTACTACATTGCCAAGAATCCAGGAGAATCCATTTAGAGCCTTCCCTGTTTTCCCTAAGGCACATGACTCTGAAGTTATGCAGATTTACAGGTATTCGTGGCCAGAGGGGTAAGGTTTATTATTCAAGGTCAACATTACAAGACTTATTGGAACATGGAATTGGGACATTTCCTGGCTCTGCTCCAGAATAATGGAGATGGAAGAAATCTTTTATCACCCCAAACTCTTGGAATGGAAATTAAGCTTATTTACAAATAGGGTGTTTTGGCAGGGATGGGGTATCGTGCTAGAAAAAGTAATGACTACTCATTAACAGGACGGGGTTATCTTTTTCCTTTGACTCCGTGGTTCACATGGCAAACACGCAGGCGGGTGACGACTGAGAGGGCCCAGTGCAAACGTGAGACTCTAAAATGACCTTCTTCTAACTGAGGGACACTGCAGTGTTTTCTCCCCCACCGTGAGCCTTATCAAACAAAAGTACAGGGCTACCTTGTCTTGTTATGCTTTGCTTCATTGTGCCTTAGAGATGTTGCATCTTTCACAATTGAAGGCCAACCCTCTGTCGAGCAAGTCTGTTGGCACCATTTTTTCCAGCAGTATTTGCTCACTTCGTGTCTCTGGGTTACATTTTGGTAATCCTCACAGTGTTTCAAACTTTATTATTATTATATTTGTTATGTTGGTCTGTGATCAGCGATTATGACTTGCTGAAGGCTCCGGTGACGTTAGCCTTTTTTAGTAATAAAGTTTTTTAAATCAAGATACGTGCATTTTTTTTTTTTTTTAGACATAATGCTGTTGCACACTCAATAGACTATTTCGTATAGTGTAAATTAACTTTTATATGAGCTGGAAAACCAAAAAGTTCATTTGACCTGTTTTCTTGCCGCATTTGCTTTACTGTGCTGATCTGGAACAGGACCCACAATAACTCCGAAGTATGCCTGGAACTAAAGATGAAAAACGTATGCCGGATATCACTATTAAAGAAAAGATGACAGAATTCAGCAGATGCTGGATTGCATGTCCTGCATTGGTGTGCCTGCCGGCTCCCGGCTGCCTTCAGGGCCCGGGCTGTCTGAGCTCAACAGGTTTTTAGGAGCAACAGTTTCACCCAATGCTCCCCTCAGTTTGTTCCACTTTTCCTGATCACCGGTTCTTATGTAAGAAAAGATTCATTTCCACACTGTGTAGCTGCCACATCTGATCCTATTCCGAAGTACTCAACCCCTCGTCATCGGTTTTGGAAGGTTCGTTTTATGAAGTGCTTGGCCAGTGTGTATGAGCCTCCTTCTGGCGGAGGGGGCCTGTCTCGACTGCTTGGAGCTTGATCTGTAATGGCTTGGTTTACAGAGTCAGACGCTCATTTCTTTTATTCCTGCACTGCTGCAGTTGGTTTCAGGGAGACTCCTGCTCATGAATATGTACTGTAAGACTACTTTTGATACCCAAAGTAAGAAAGTGGTTATCTGCAGGAAGAAAAAATTTCAAACTTTCTCATGTGAGAAACTATCAGTAAATGTACTTTTGGTTCCATTTGTCATCTCTTAGTGTGTATGTTTGTACTCATTGGGTAAATATAAGATTAGAACCTTCTTTCATGGGATTAATTCATGCTTTCAGTGCCATCTTACACTCCTAAACCATATGTAATTATATACATCTTTCTGATAAGACAATGTGTAAGAAGATATTTTTTTTTTTTGTGAGAAATGTAATTTTTGAAAGATGTACTATGGATATCTGCTAACAGCTTGTAGAGAAGCATTTCTTAGGACCTGAGATGTGCTCCCACAGTAGGGACAGGATTTCCTTTAACAGGACTTCACAGGTTACTTTAAAAAAAAAAAAATTTACTTATTTTTATTTAAGTTCAATTAACATATAATGTATTATTGGTTTTAGAGGTAGAGGTCAGTGATTCATCAGTCTTATATAATACCCAGTGCTCATTATGTGCCCTCCTAATGCCCTTCCCCCCCCACCCCTCCAGCAACCCTCCGTTGGTTTCCTATGCTTACGAATCTCTCATGGTTTGTCTCCCTCCCTGATTTTTTGTTTTATTTTTTCCTCTCTTCCCCTATGATCCTCAGTTTTGTTTCTTAAATTCCACATATCAGCGAAATCATATGATAATTATCTTTTTCTGATTGACTTATTTCACTTAGCATAATATCCTCTAGATCCATCCACATTGTTGCAAATGGCAAGATTTCTTTTTTTTTTTTTTTTGGCTGAGTACTATTCCATTGTATAAATGTACCATATCTTCTTTATCCATTCATCTGTCAATGGACATCTGGGCTCTTTTCATAATTTGGCTATTGTGGACATTGCTGCTATAAACATTGGGGTGCAGGTGCCCCTTTGGATCACATTTTTATCTTTGGGGTAAATACCCAGTAGTGCAATTGCTGGATCGTAGGGTAGCTCTATTTTCAACCTTTTGAGGAACCTCCATACTGTTTTCCAGATTGGCTGCACCAGCTTGCATTCCTCACCAACATCTTTCGTTTCCTGACTTGTTGATTTTAGCCATTCTGACTGGTGAGGACTTCACAGGTTACTAATAGCTGGTTAACACCCATGCAAATTTGAAATAAAATTTCTTCCTATCGGAAGTTCGCCCATTTTTGGAAGAGCTTGTAAAATAAAAAGTGTTAAATCTATAATTCCGTGCTTTTGTTTTATTCATCTGAGCTGGAATAAATAGTATGCACTTCCTTTAATGTGTATCTTTAAGAATAAGAAAAAGGTATCTTTACTTTTTCCAGAGATGAGGAATTACAGAGGAAAATACGAAAGAAACCACATGGCAATTCAAGAACAGAAGTAATGTAGATGAGTTCAGGTTTTCATTAAGCAATTTGAAATCCCCTTTGGAAAATATCACAGAATTGGTTGGAATAGGGTGCAGGATGTTTTCAAAGCTTGTGGACTGACTCTGATGTGATGTGTAGATCTTGGCTCTACATTTCCTTCTCTTGGCCTCAGTTTTCTAATCTGCAGAATGGGGACAGTAGTATCTAAGTCAGAAGATAGTTGTGGGGATTAAATGGGATACCTCTTGTAAAATACTTAATACAATGTGTGGGCCATGGTACACTCTTGACAATAGTAGCACCGGTAAATTATTATAATCTCTCCTATTAACCTTTAAAAGGAAGATTGTAATAGGACAGTAATAATAGTAATCGTACATACTTCAAAGATGTGAAGTGGCCATTAAAATAGGTGTTGCTGACTGTGCCTGGCATATATAGTAAGGGCTCAGTAAATCTTAAATAAAAACTTAAAAATGAAATCTAATGCATTCATTTAACCTTGACTCTGGAGAACTAGAAATCTTGACAAAGAGTTTGGTCTTTGATGATAACTGTTGATGATTGTAAGTTTAGAAATGCTAATCAGGGGCGCCTGGGTGGCTCAGTGTTAGGCATCTGCCTTTGGCTTAGGTCATGATCCCCATCTGGCTCACTGCTCAGTGGGAAGCCTGCTTCTCCCTCTCCCACTCCCCCTGCTTGTGTTCCCTTTCTTGCTGCGTCTCTCTCTGTTAAATAAATAAATAAAATCTTAAAAAAAATGCTAATCATAGAAAATTCATGTTCTTCATTGAGTGGGTAAATATATGGCTTAAGAATTATGAGAAATCTTGCCATTTGTGACAACATGAATGGACCTAGAGGATATTATGCTAAGTGAAATAAGGCAGACAGAGAAAGACAAATACCGTATGGTTTCACTTGTATGTGAAATCTAAAAAAACCAAAACAATTAAACAAAACAAAAACAGCTTCGTAGATACAGGAAATAAACGGTTACCCGAAGAGGATGGGGAAAGGGGATGGGGCTGGCAAAATAGGTGAAGGGGGTTAAGAGGTATAAACTTGCAGTTATAAATAAGTTATAGGATGTCATGTACAGCTTACAGAACATCAGCAATAATATTGTAGTAACTGTATGGTGACAGATTATGGTAACTAGACTTATCACAGGGATCATTTTATAATGTATAAAAATATCAAATCCCGTGATGTACACCTGAAACTAATAAAATCTTGTATGTCAATTGTACTTTAATAAAAGAATTGTGAAATTTCTACAGTCTATAAGAGTAACATGGCATCGGGCTTTGGCTTGTCAAATCTACATATTAATGTCCACATTTTTAATTTTATTAAAGTTTTTTTTTTAAAGATTTTATTTATTTATTTGACAGAGCACAAGCAGGGGGAGCAGCAGAGGGAGAGAGAGAAGCAGGCTCTCTGCTGAGCAGGGAGCCCAGTGTGGGGCCGGATCCCAGGACCCTGGGATCATGACCTGAGCCGAAGGCAGACACTTAACTCACTGAGCCACCCAGGCGCCCCATAATTTTGTTAAAGTTTTAATCTTTCTTTGACGTTAATACTTTGGCTAAAGCCAAGGGGATAGGCTTTTCATGCACATATACAGTAGGCTTCCCAGTTTTTACACAGAAGTGTTGCATTAGTTAAGACTATTTTATTTGCAAACAATAACACTCAAGCTAATTTGGGAAAATCCTCATGTGCTCATATTATGAGCTTGTGCTAGAATCCAATATAGCTGGATTCAGGGGTGTGAGTGAAGTCAACAGTCCTGTGTGTCTGTGCCTTTCTCCCCTTCTCTCTGCTCTGCCTATAGCAATGTGGCTTTGTTCTCAGGCTCTTTCTACTTGGTGGTTAAATGGCTCCTGGGTGTTGATCCTCGGGAAAGAGGAGATGTCTTTTCCAAAAGCTTTAACAAAATGTTCAGGGAGGACAGTAATTTAATCTTGTTAAATAGCATGTAATACCTGTGTTCCAGGTGCTTAACAGAACTGCTAGTGATATGAATGAAAACTCAGTTGTAAGAATAAATATCTTATTAAATATTAG